AATGCCGACTTGCGCAACTCTCGCGCCGTTCCTCGGGACATCTTCGATTTTCGAATACTAAGCGCCGTCGCCTGCATTTATCATACCTCTACGCACCTGGCCGATCGCTTGCGATAACCGTTCCGCGTCGCTGGCCAAACGGAACGACACGGGTCGGGAATTCCGACTCGAGAACTTTCCAACTGTTTCTCGGTATCCATCGACGTGGTGTGCCATCTCCGACGCGTTGTCGCGGAAATTGGAAACGATGGTCAGGCCTGAGCGAGCTCCAAGACGAGGGAAATATTCGCGACAGTGACGCGCGTCACCTCGGAACGACGGTGGATTAAGTAATCTAACCGTAAATTAGTTCGGGCTGCTCCGTCTGACCACTGCGGCCATTATCTACTTGCGTGGCTGATCGACGAATCCCGTCTACCCGTATCACTGTTCCACCAATTGCTTTCTGGGATCGACACGCTTCTCCGTAATCCATCGCTCGCGATCGCAATCGCGTAATTGTAATCGCGATTGTAATTACTTAATCGTCGGAGAAATTCTCGAGTAGCTGCGTAATCGCGGAATGTATCGCGAGTTATGGCATAAGGCGCGAAGGATATCAGGTGTAGGTTCGATACTCATCGCGTTGCTTAATCCTTGCGGTAATCGAATAACAAGTGCTCGTAAATTTTTACGGCTCGGGTAACATTTTCCCAGCCGCGAAACATTTCCCCTTTCTATTTCATTTCTGCGAGAGCTCCTCGTCTGTCTTCCGGCGAATTCCTCGCCGCTAATTATCGCACCGGCTGTGTGCCGTACTCGCGCCATTCCCTAGGACGTATCCGCGCTCTCGCCGATGGCCGTTTTCCTGATGGACCCGTGTCCACTTCCACTCTCCAAGGAAGTTACGTGAAACGTCGAAAGCGACCGTGTACCCGTGATTGCAGCGAATGCGGTTAATGGCGGTAATAAAATCGCATCTCGACAGCTCCGACTCGCGATGCTACGATAATTGCATCAGGGAATCCTGTGTATCGTGACGCGTATGTCGCGAATGATCATCCACGGATGTGCAAGCGAGGCCATCCGATTTCGCGACGCGTCGTAAGACGAATCGCAAGACGGAACCTCGCCTGGGAACCGATCGAACGATCGGTTCTGGTAGGCGTCACGATCATCGATCACCGAGAAGCGAGAGACGGGCTACTGAAAGCCATAGAGACGTCTTCGTTGCTTTCTTCTGCGAGCCGATATCTAGTCACGGAGGAGCGTTACGAAACGGTTTGTTGGCTTTTCCTCGTTCAGCGACACGTGCGTTCCACGACTCCGTCGTCTCTCGTAATTTAACCGCCTCGCGAATCGGCGAAATTCGTAGGGACAATCCGGCGAGAGAGCCGATTTAGTCGACGTGCCGACCTTTCGCAGCCAGATCGGTATCGCTTTTACACGATGATCCATGTGCTCCTCCGTACACTCGGCTTAACCTCGTTACGTAACGATCCACTGCTACGTTCTTCCACGGTTGATCGATCGTAAATACTTTGCTCGTTGTATGACTCAGCAGATTCGCTTCTTGCGATTTCGTACAAGTTTAAATGCGTACGTAAATGCATTGCGTGTACCAGCACGTGCGTGTACGAGTATCGCTAGCTAGATCGTAGCTCGAGTTGCCTCTGCACATTCCCTCTCGCGAATCGAACTCTGACTAGTCTCTCTCCGAAAAATATTCTCAAAGTCAAGGGAATCATCTAAGCAGACGAGGCGTGCCTTTCAAGTTTTTCTCCGAACGTTGAGAATTATACAAGAGCGAAGACTTTGCTCGGATGAGAGGACTTCGACGTTCGTCGTCTGAGAAGAAATCGCGAATCATAAACGCTCCCCTCACGGATGCTTTCGTGAGTCAAACCTGACCTGTCTGACATCCTACTAGGAAACGTACTACGAGTCAAGAGAATCCTATTCTTCGGGACCAAGCATCTCTCATCCTCTTTTTCCAAAGGTCACGAATTATACAGGATTCGAGGCTTCAACTGCTCCAGCTGCTACGGATTTCATCCTTCATCCTCCAAAACGGAACCGCGAATTATAAATACTTTCCACGAATGGAACTCGATTCTCTTCGAGAGTATCCTCGTTCTCTATCGCTAGGAATAATTCAAGACTCGTCGTTTTGTGCAGCCACGGCAGGCTTGGTCGTTCCTCGTCCTGGAGGAAATTATAAACACGAATCAACCTCAATCTTGCTCGTACCTGACTACAAAATACCCTAACCATCGAGAAGAATCATCTTCCCTGATGAAATTTGTCTTCCATCCTCTCTCTTTCATCAGTTTCTCGACGTTCGAAGTTTCGTACAACAACGACGTCGTCGTTGGAGAAGAAATCGCGATTCCCTACGCGATCACCAAGTGCAGAGAAACCGTCAGTCGAATCTCGGAGAAATGTTTGCACGGCCTTGGATGGCGATACGTTTCAGAGAAACGGGTTACTTTTCGCCGGTGTAAACGGCATAATATCGCCGCGTGTCGGCGCACAGGTACGATACGCGTTGCCCAATGAACCGGCGAGCGTGAGCGAAAAGAAAGCCGCTTTCTTACGTAAGTCTGCACGCTCGCTCTTTCTAAACTGACCGAAGTCCGCCGTGGCACACACGTAAGCCAGCCAAGGCTTCGGTTTTAGGGCCGATCCCGGCTCATCCGCTTCGCTTTTACCGCGTTATCGCTTGCACGAGATTCTTCAGACGATCCAACTTCGCCGAAGATCGATCACGAAGCCTGTGCAAAGGCACGAAGCCTTTGAGAGACACTCGCAGCGAGTTGGAGCATTTCCAAGCGAGCTGGAAGAACGAGGAAGTCGAGAGGAATGGCGCGAGCGATTAAGGCGCGGGATGATCCAAGCGCGATTCGCTGGAAAGCGAGCTAATCGTGAGAGAGTTACTCGAGACTCACTTTTGCGATTCCACGGTTCCAACTGGATTCAAAGGTGACGCTAATTCGCAGATCATCTGGGTGATCCGCGAGCGAGATGCTCTTCGAAGCAGCGGCTTTGCAGCTTGACCGTGACTGGGTCGCCAGTCGACCCTGCTTTGTCCGTGACTCGATTGTCGATCGATCCACAGCTTTCCGTAACACCGTCGTGACTCCTTTCTGACTTAACCCCTTGCCTCGCCATTTAACCCTTCGGTCGCCATTTCATCAAATTTCGAAGCTCGATATTAACTGATATATCAAGTTTAAGATAATGTAACGGTGCGCGAGATAACGAAATGAAACAATTCTGCGTGTTAATTATTATACGATTTCTTATCCACTGCTCGAAAAGTATCATTAGCCTTGTAGCCGAAAATTTTTCATCTCGTACCCTTCTTTATCCAAAAAATCATCGGCGCGTGCTATAGTTAACAACAACGTCGTACACGATGAGACATGTCCAAATAGGTCTGGTCACTCGGTGCGAACGCGACGAGGAATAACACGCAACTGAACGAGGAAAACGTTGCCGAAAATTAACCAGGACTCTGACCTCTGATGTTTACGAGCCACGTCTCCCGCCCGTGATACTCGTGTTCGACCCGATCCCCTTATACTCCTTACCAGGAATAGGCGGAAATATTGTTTACAATATATTTGCTCAACCGTTGCACCGAGGTGAAACTTTGGACCCTCGTGCTGTTTTGTCGAGCTAGCAATTCGTCGTTTCATTTGCTATGCTCAATTAGCGTGGCTTGCGTCACGAGTACTCCGATTGGCATCGCTGGCTTTAAAATGCATGCGTTTTTCATCCTCGTTACTTGCATCCGACTACGTAACTGGGCAGCTCGGGTTCCGGTCCTTTTCGATATAAAAACTCGATAAAAACGCATTAAGATGCATTGGCGAGAAGCAGTTGCATAAAATTTCGTCTTTTTCTGCCGCAGTGACGCGACAGCAGGAGGTGGCGGTGATCTGACCAACACGGACAACATGCAGAACAACTCGGATACCACTCTGGACATGTCGATAACGCCGAGCACGGTGATGGCCACGCCAGGGTTGAACAACCCTACGTGGAACCGGCAGCAGGCGGTCAGCGTGCGGCATGCGTTCAAAACTTACGGGAGCAGCAAGAACCCGAACCACGTTATCCAGAATCTTAGCATGACCGTGGCGAAGGGATCCATGTGAGTAACCTCGTGATCCAGCCCGGTTCTCCCTTACTTTCGCTGAATCGTAGCTCGCACCGGTAAATCGCGATGGCAATTTCAGCGAGACAATGAGGTTTTACCTTTTCACGAATTCAAGCTCAGCCCGGTTTCCGGAACACGTAATTATCGGTTCGAATTCTCGGTGAAAGCGATCAAGATACTGCGGGGAACGAGAAGATTTATGGTTGCTAGAAAATGTGCACATTCGATACCCGGTTGAATTATTTATCAGCGGAGCAGCTGAGCAGGAGCAGGTCGGAAACAGGTAATCCTTGATTGCGCTAATTGCCGTAGCTGTGACGTCTAAGCTGTGACGAAATCGGTTCAACCTGCTTCCTTCGACCGGGACGAAACCTGTGCACCGTAATCGACGTTACAACGCCAGTCACCTGGTCCTTAAAATGCAGCTCGAGCGAAGGAGCTACGCAGGCAGAGACGGACGAAAGGCAGCTTTCTTAGAAAGCGACGACCAAAGAGGATCAACCGAACGTGACGAGCTCTCGCAGATCTTGGACGCTTCTCCAGCTGAGGAACCGCTGTCTGTCACGCGCGATTCGCCATGGGATCGACTCTGCTCGAGCGTGGAATGTCATTTACGCGGAAACCCTACGCGATTTCCAGCTGGGTTCAATGTTTCCGGGATAAAACGAATCCCGCGAAGCACCGTTATCCACGTTGCGTAATTTCATTACGCACGCCGCAGCCCATTATCTTCGCCGCTATTACGAATATTGGCTTTTACGCTATGGGAGCACGTAACTAGCGCGCAATTACACGAGCGGGCCCGCGCAGAAGATCGTCGATCTCGCGTACAGATCTCGCGTAATGTATACACCGACTCGTGGATCCTCCAGTGTCTCTACGGTTTGCAGGAAGTCGATTTGTTTGCGATTCTGATAAGCGTTCGCTTCGCTGTGATTCCGAGAAGAGGAACCTTCGAGATACCGTAACTCGAGGCAAACGAGAAATCGGAAACCGTGTGAAGCATCGTTTTCGCGATAATCGCGTCTCGTTTAGATAAAACGGCGAAACCGCAGCTGAAAAGTACCCGCGAAGACTTTGTAGCTGATAGATCTAGACCTCAAAGTCTATAAAACAAAGCGTGACTCATTTTTCCTCTTTTCTGTCTCAGTTATGGACTCTTGGGTGCCAGCGGATGCGGCAAAACCACCTTGCTGTCTTGCATCGTCGGTCGAAGGAAATTGAACTCTGGCGAGATCTGGGTACTCGGCGGCAAGCCAGGTAATAAGAAATCCGGAGTTCCAGGGAAAAGGGTCGGTTACATGCCGCAGGAAATTGCTCTGTACGGGGAATTCAGTATTCGAGAGACCATGATGTACTTCGGCTGGATATTCGGCATGTGCACCGACGAGATCGCGGAGAGGCTCCGATTTCTGCTGCAATTCCTCGATCTACCGTCCCAGAATCGACTGGTGAAGAATCTTAGGTGAGCGAAATTAATCTCGATCGCTGTTGAACAGGTTCTTTGGTCTTTTTCTCGCGTTACGAAGTCCTCGAACTTTCCACCTGTTAACGACGGATTTCTCGTTTGATTACAGCGGGGGCCAGCAGCGAAGAGTGTCCTTCGCGGTTGCCCTGATGCACGATCCCGAGCTCCTGATCCTCGACGAGCCGACCGTAGGCGTGGATCCTCTTTTGCGACAAAGGTGAGTTCCCGTCGACGTGCACAGTGTGTCAGAAGAAGTTGTCGATCGAGGACTCATCGCATGTTTGCTCGCTCGTTTAATAGAATGATAGGCGTCTGATACGTTCATTTAGGTGATTGACCATAATCTATACCGACGAGGAGTCATCTGCCTAAAAATATCCACGGAGAAACCAGTTCCACCGGAGATTCATTCGTCGCTTTAGAAACGAATAAAGTTTCCTTCTGTTTAGTCTCGAACATAACTTTCTGTTAAATTATTCCTCCTTTTTCTGTTACGCTCTTTCTAATCGTCGTTAAACCGGACTTTCATACGAAATATCAGCCAACATTGTGATAAAAACTGGCAGACTCCTGGATGAAACCTGTGCCGAAGTTTCGTCGATACTCCGAAGCATTAAAGTCTCGGTTAAAGAGCAGTAAAGACCGAAATGACTGGAAGAATTAGGAAAAAGGGGAGGAATTTCATCATCCTCCGGAACGATCAAATGACAGGAGCAAATAGCGCGTAACAGCGGAGAGGAAATGTTGCACGATACGTCGCGCCTTTAGGATTCACTTTTTAAGTGAAAGTTCCGCTTGCCTGGACGGACCTGAACGAGAAGAAAATTAGGTATAAAGGTGGCTGAACGTAGACTTGCTGCTTCTGCATCTAAAGGACCTTTTGTTTCCAGTCAGTTGCATGGGGAAAATTCACGCCTTATCTACGGGAACCAATTTCCACGCCAGTTTCCTTAAGTATCTGCAACCTTGTTAACGTTTTCCAGCCCGAATGGTACGCCCAACTAAACACGAACGTTTCAGATGCGTGTCGCGGACGCTTTTACCAAATACTCCACTTACACTTTCCACTTTACACTGAATGGATCCTTAAAGAAGAAAATTCAGCGTGCTTCACGGTCTGCCAAGAAGCCGCCGAGTGTAGCAATAGAAGTCCAGAAAGGGACATTAAAGAGCGGAGAAACGATTTCGTCGGGGCAAGTGAGTTTCATTCGCGTTATGAAATGACGGTGGCAGGCCGCTTTTCAATTACCATCGCCAGGAATGTGGAAAAGTATGCTAGTCGCGTTTTACTCGTGACCACCTCTCGCGCCGGCACGAGAATGTCCGTAATTTACATTTCTACCGAGATATCGTTTACGATCCTCGATAAATTTTCCTTGAATATCGACGCGCGTAATTGTGTCTGGGGAAGATTCACCTCGCTCACAATGGACTTTGCTTTCGAATTGACCGCAGGAAGGAGACGTATCATCCTCGACAGCCAAGGTGCTGGAGTCTGGAAAATGTTGCGTTAACCTACTTCGAGTCCTTTGCATGACACGGCGCAGGAAATTTCGCAAGCTATGCTTGTGTACGCTCGTATAACGAGCTTAACGATGCCGGTAATCTGTTATAAAAATGGAAAATTGAGCCGTGATTGAGTGCGTTTCTAAATATCGCTGTACCAGTGATTGGATGAATTTTTTCTCCATTAATAACGTTGGATTTACGACTATATATATGATACGTTTAAGATAAATACGATAAGAGACATGCGACGAATATAAATGTAGAACTTCACTGGGAAATCTAGAGAACATGCTTTTCTTTGCCTCTTTGCAGCTAAAACCTACCTCGAGATTATTTTCTTTTCCGAAACCTCGACTTCCTGGCTCGCAACGTCGGATAAATCCTTTGCAACTACTGCAGATTTATCGCTCTTCGTCCC